AGGCAAGTGAAAGCGGAGATGGCGAGGAGGAAGCGGGAGGCTGAGGAGGAGGCAAAGAGGAAACGGCAGGCTGAAAAAGCGGCGAGGAGTCGGCAGCTGGAAGTGATGAGGGTGAAAAAAGAAGAAGAGGAGGGGGGGTACCAGGCTAACTATATCCCGGAGGGGTACAACTCCATGAGTGGGTCGGATGATGGGAATTGGGACAACGAATCTGACAGATATGCTCCGGATGAGGGACCTCACCGATGTAGTGTATGGTGTAACTGTTCGGATGACAAGGAGGGCGAGGGGGATTCAGAGTACGGATCTGAGGAGGAAGATAGGGACAGAGGGGATACTCCTTACGAAATGTATCAACGTGACCGCGATTCTTGGAGGAATCGTGAGAACATGATGTGGCGCCAGATACGGCAGTTGGAGGATCAGCTGAGGAATTCGAGGGAGGCTGAGGACAGATTCCGGAGGTTGTGGCAGTCTGCTGAGGGACGGGTTGATGAGATGGAAGATCAGAAGCAGTTTTGGATGATGTATGCGATGACTTGTAGATGATGAGTTTAGAATGTCCTGAATCCTGGTGAGTAATGTTTCTGGTCTCGTTGTCACGTTTTTGCTTACCGTTCAAAAGTCTTCAGCTCCTGTATTTTGGCTTTTGGGTGCAATTGGCCTTTTGATTTCTGCATATTCAATGCTTGAATATTATGGGATTTAGGCGGGCGACTGAAGTGGGGAGTTTGCTTTGTAGATCATGATGATGTGCGTTTGAAAGACTTTTGAAGGGGGGGTTGGGCATTTAATGGAGCTCCAGCCAGTGGAATAAAGGATGCCGGAATATACTAGTGATTGCTTAGCCTATACGACAAATGTTCCCGTTCTTGTTGTTGGGAATAGTGATGTTCAAAGCTCATTGAACGGGACTTCTCTCACAACCCGATTCAGCATCTGAGCCGTCTTTTCCACAGCACCGTTTTCGAACGGGTTCGACAGCAACCCTGATATGATTTGCATGCACTATATTAATCTCCAAACGGGGCCTATGGCCCAATGGATAAGGCGCCTGACTACGAATCAGGAGATTCCAGGTTCGACCCCTGGTAGGCTCGGTTGTTGATACTTGATTGATTACTTTTTTGTGTTTCTGCGACTGGGTCCCGGCAGCCAGACTTTATTCCATACACGCCCAATTGAATATCTTGCGGAATCTGGGCTCGGTTGTTGATACTTGATTGATTACTTTTTTGTGTTTCTGCGACTGGGTCCCGGCAGCCAGACTTTATTCCATACACGCCCAATTGAATATCTTGCGGAATCTGTACGACCGGCTCCTGGCTGCGTGGACGATTTCCGTCCAGATCTGGTGCGGGATCCAACCCGCTACTGCAAGCCACCTTCCGCTTCCCACCCAGCATCCACATTGTTCCAACAATGCCACCACCATTGCATGTGGCGTATCAAAGCCAGCTGAATGGTGTGACATTGTCAGACGCCTACCGTCTCTTTTTGTGGCGCGCATCCAATTTCCGGGTGGAAACATGCTGGCTGGCGGTCTGGGTTGAGCTCACCCAGCGTGCACTTCCGTGTTACCAATTGGATAATCAGATCATTGGTGGCATCACAGACCCTGTGTAACATCCGGGTCAAACGCGGGTTAGTTACAGGTCAAATCTAGGGCAAGTCTGCCTCAACAGCCCTTCAATGAATAAACATCCCTAAGTCCTTCACTTTTTGGATCTTCTGAAAATATTATTGGAGCTTGCTGTTCGTGTAATCAAGCTTGACTTCTGACATTCTCCACATTGGAATTCTTCGAGACATTTGATAGATACAGTCTCAAAGATCCCTCCCACACACTTTTTGACAAATGACCCTCGGGGTTCAGCGAAAATTGCACTACTGGTCATCAGGGTTGGTGTTCAACCAATAACAGTCACTGTCAAGAATGCGGCAATAGCTGTGTGGATACACGCATGCTCTGCATACCTAAGATTGCCGGTTCAACTCTCACATTTTCCCTTTTTTGTCATGGCCACATTTCATGGGAAGATGGGAGAAGCTGGCTGCGCGTCTTGTGCTATGCACGTCAACCTCATGGAAATTGGACGCCCATCCAACGGCACAGGTTCCACGTGGTTCCCACCCGGGTTTGATCTGGGTGAGATGCAGGTACCATCCGGCCGGCCGCACGGTTCCATGAGATATTCAACTGGGGGTGTAGGATCTCTTTCAGACCACCTCGTCTTTGTGTCTTTACCTAATTTAGGCTTCCAAGCATCTGTTGTTTTAACCATCTTGGAATATCCTGTAGACCTGTCGAGATTTACGTACTTGCGGTGGATGGACTGAATTGCACGACTGCTTGGATGGGCGTTTCGCACGCTGCATTGATTTTTTATGGATATGCAATCATTTTAAACCTTTTGCTAGTGGGAGCTCGGATGATGCATAATGCATTGATAAAATGTCGCCAGAAGCTACGCGCAAGAGAGTGCTGTTGCTTACCAGATCTTCCGTTATCACTGATGATCTCATCGTGATCGCAGTTTTGATCTGGAACGGTTCTGCTCCGAAAAATTGGGTTGGCAGACACTCCACCAATCCTTCTTTGCTCTTAGCGGCTCCTAGATCTACCACCAACGTACCCCATCTAAACCCGTAGCGTATATCAAGATGGCCGAACCCACTGCCAAAGCCTGCCTCATTGTCATCGATGGTTGGGGTGTCTCCGCCGAGGCGGACCCTGCCGGCGACGCCATCCGCAATGCCGAAACTCCCGTCATGACTGATCTCCGCAACCGTTACCCCAACTCCGATATCTCTGCGCACGGTCTTGCTGTCGGTCTTCCTGATGGTTTAATGGGTAACTCTGAGGTCGGACACTTGAACATTGGCGCTGGTCGCATTGTGTACCAGGTTGGTTTTCGCTTGTATTTATTTTTTGTCACAGGGCCGGCAAGTTTGTTTATGGTGTTTTGTTTACATCCCTTGCTCCCACCTAGGACATCGTCCGTATCGAGCTTGCCATCAAGGAAAAGAAGTTCGCCCAACAACCCAACTTGGTGAAGGCTTTTGAGCGCGCAAAGTCCGGCAATGGCCGTCTCCACCTCCTCGGTCTCGTTTCCGACGGTGGTGTCCACTCCCACATCAACCACCTCAAGGAAATTTTGACCGCCGCTAAGGAATATGGTGTCCCCAAAGCTTTCGTTCACTTCTTCGGTGACGGTCGTGACACCTCCCCCAAATCCGCGGACAAGTACATGAAGGACTTGCTCGACCACATCGCCAGCATCAGCTACGGTGAAGTCGCCACTGTCGTTGGACGTTACTACGCCATGGACCGTGACAAGCGGTGGGAACGTGTCAAGATCGCGTATGACGGTCTTGTTGCTGGAGAGGGAGAGCACGTTACGGATGTCTTGAAGGCTATTGAGGATCGTTACGCTAAGGATGAGACCGATGAGTTCTTGAAGCCCATCATTGTTGGTGATGAGGGCCGTATCAGCGACAATGACACTTTGATCTTCTTCAACTTCCGAAGTGACCGTATGCGTGAGATTAACCAAGCGTTGGGCGTTGCACCTATTCCCTTTGAGCCCAAGAAGCAACCCAAGGACATCGTAAGTCTGAAAGCATATTCGAAATATCACACCTCTATCTCATCATCACATTGGAAAATAGCACATCACCACCATGACCCAATACAAGGGCGACTTCCCCTTCCCCCTCATCTTCCCCCCACAATCCATGGACAACGTTTTGGCCGACTGGCTTGGCAAGCAAAAGGTTGCTCAAAGTCACATTGCCGAAACTGAGAAATACGCCCACGTCACCTTCTTCTTTAACGGTGGTACGGAGGCTCAGTACCCGTTGGAGGACCGTGAGCTCGTCCCATCACCGAAGGTTGCGACTTACAACTTGCAGCCTGAGATGAGTGCGATCCCCGTTGCCGAGAAGGTACGTCAATAGCTCATGCTGCGCTGTACCAGCGTAGCAGAAGATTCATCAGAATGCTTTTTTCAGGTCGCTGAGGTCCTTGAGAGCCAAAAATACCCCTTCGTTATGTGCAACTTCGCTCCTCCGGACATGGTAAGTTTCATCGGTGGAATTCCATTATATTGCATCTAGAAACTCAATGGTCGCAAATAGGTTGGTCATACCGGTGTTTACGAAGCTGCCATCAAGGGTGTAGAAGCCACCGACAAGGGTATCGGAATCATTTACGAGGCATGCAAGCGCGCCGGCTACACCCTCTTCGTCACCGCCGACCACGGAAACGCCGAGAAGATGTTCGGTGAGAACGGTCAACCCCACACTGCTCACACTACCAACAAGGGTATGCATTTTGTATAGCATTTGCTCTGTAAATCGTATGACTCATGTTATCATCCCTTCTAGTCCCCTTCATCATAACCTCCGAGAAGCGCAAGTTCGTCGCCGACCGTACCGGTGCTTTGTGCGATGTTGCTCCCACTATCCTTGAGTACATGGGTCTTCCTGTTCCTGAGGAGATGACCGGACAATCTATGCTTGCTTAGATAGGGGCTCCTGGCGCCCCTCCACGCTTAGTTTGTACTTTTTGTGTTTGCATAGGGTTGACGATTTAGGATTAGCATGTGTAATTTTTATCATGGAATAGAATGCATCTAGTAGATGGACTGGGTTTAATCTTGATGGAGAATGATTTATGATGAACAGGATCCTATTGGCATGGACGTTGGGCTCATTGCTTGCGAAGGAATGCCGCAAGTTCGTTGGGAAACAGGTCCGTAGGTGAATACAATGGATTCACATTAGGAACAGCACAGCCGATTGTGTCCTCGCGATTTGCACCAATGTCATAAAAACCCCGCTATTCCCTACCATTTGTGCGTTGATATATCATTCGGCATTAGACTAATGCACAACAAGTCTAGATAACGAGAAAAGCTACGGAGAATATGCAAGTGAGGAAATCTTAAGGAAATATGGCAGAGAAAAAAAAATCGGGTTGAGTCAGCTCTCCTTAGTGCTCGCAGTCGGGATTGAACCGACGACCTTTTCGGTGTAAACGAAACGTGATAACCACTACACTATGCGAACATGTGGATGCGAATATATGCTTCTTATCCATATTCATAGCTACTTGTCAAACTGGAAGCAAGACTTGACAGGAGAACGAAGATGCACCCGATCAGGGGGTTGACCTGTGCTGCAATAATCTTCACCGTCTTTTGATACACAGTAATGCCTCGCAAACGAACAAAGCGGTCAGCCAAGTCCCCTGCTACAGTTGTCAAGCTTCCTTCCGTAGAAACCATCGTTCCCTCCTTTGCCACCCAAGCCCTATCCCAGTTCGACGTGGTAACGTGCATCTTCGAATATCTAGATCACCTGAACGATATCGACCGATGCAGATGTGTAAGCCGTGTCTGGCGAGCGGCATCAGGCACCCACCTCAAACGCTGGTTTCGACAACACACCTCAACCCTCCACCTCAACTTTGGTTCACCACTCCGGAACGGCAGTTGTCAGTACATCGGGTTCAGTACCGCATACGAAAGCTATAACTCCGTCACCGTAACTTTCGCAGCCGGCTTCCACCGCGGGACACCCGACCTCCATCCCCGTTTCCTCGTGGCCACTCCTGACCAATCCCCTCTCGTCGATCACATGAGAAGCAGCTACCACCAAACCCTGACCTCCATCATGAAGTTACGAGAAGGGGAGAAGTTGCAAACTGCTTTGGAAGCACTGATGTGGAAAGCAGTCGGAAAGCTTCCCCCAGAGGAAGTTAACAAAGCCGGCTTAAAACGCATCCAGGAAGCCTCCACAGTGTTAGAGCGCGTAAAACTCTTCACGGAAGTCATACCGAAAGAAACGGCTGCACAAATCCTCGGAACAGAGACCGGTAGATCAATCCTCGAAGCACAAAAGAAGTTTGCACTGTTCCAGCTAGACCCGTGGGATCAATCCGGCAACATGAAACTCTTAACGAAAGTCCGGGAATTCACTGGGAAGGTGTGGTCTGGGCTGTTACAGGGATACCAGTATAAGACCATCACACCGGGACTCTCAGAAGGGTACTTCCGCCAGTATCGGCAGTTGGGCAGTAGGGATCTGAATCGGGTTATATATCACTTCTTGCCGACTCGGGGGGCGGAGTTTGGTGCGGCACGGGAGAGGTGGAAGGGCAAGGTGTTGGCGTTTCGGTTTCATCAGGGGCATGAGAAGGGGAAACCTTCTTTCCGGATTCCCTGTCCTTCGGTTGAGGATCCTGAAGACGATAGGGACGTGACAAACTTGGTACGCACCGTCCACCATACCCACCCTACCCGTACCACTCCCAAAATTGAATATGAAGTGGATTGGGCGGTCGTGGGTGGGCGCTCTACTTGTTTGGCGGTGCATGTCAAGTGTGGTGTTGGGCAGTGGGTCCAGTTCATCAAAGCTATGTCAGGGTACGGGTGAGAAGATGAGTGATTGTAGATACCTGCAGATGAAGCACCATGTAAATACATGTATAGCAGTTCAACAGTCACAATGTTGCCCGCCTTATCCAATGCTCTCACTCACAAAGCAGCTTCGTTGACACCCCACCGACGGATATCCTACAGAAGGGCCATGTAGTGCCGGTGCGGTGGGTTGCTAAACAGCTCAGATTCGATCGGCACCGTCACGGGAAAGCCATCTCGGAACCCTTGACAGAGATCCAATGGCTGGGTCGCAGAAGTGGGCACTGTCCGACACCCTCCTGCGGCTGCAACACCTCATCTTTGTGGCAGGAAGCCAAACGCCAGCGTGTGAAGGTGGACCGACTGGGTGCCAACAAAGAAGGGTATTTCGAAGTAGTTAATTGGGAATCGGATACATATCCCAGCTCTTGGAGGGCGGCACGAGAAGGGACATCACCAAAGAACACTTCACGGGATATCTGGATGCCGGAAGATCCTGCAGACGGGTCTATCGGGGCCTGATGGGGAAGTCGCGTATATCTGTACTTGTGTAGGAAGATTTCTAAAAGAAGAAATATGAACGGAAGGCCAAGAGGCCTTAACGAACTACTTCCATGTAGCGGTGGCAGGGGATCGTCCGAAATATATTAAAAATATACGAATACATTCCATTCCTCGAGCCTTACTCTCACCCGAAATATTGTTCGTGCACTCACTAATAGCTTTGGCCACTCACCACAAAGGGCGATGACTCTGTCGTCACGTCCCAGATAGTCTGACAACATCTCCATACTATCCTTACTTGATGCAACCAGCTTTTGACGAATGATGTTGTAAAATTCGTCTCCGTCAGATTCCATTCCTTCTTCAGTTTGCAACTGGGCGTGTCACAAGTGTAAACGACCCACTGCTCGCCGGACTTCAGCACACAACATCGGATCCTATTGCATCAGAAGGGCCTGCTCCAACCTTGGGGCATACTTATACTTTTTACAACGAGCAGTGATGGAGGTCCATGGTCGCTATGGTGAGAAGGCGTCTCCGTGTGTACATTACGGATGCGTCCTTTTGAGCGTTCCTCTAAAACTTGTGATATATTTGCCGGATGCATCATGATCTGTGGGACTTTACGGTTACCTACTTCACTTCAATAGCGGTCCATTATGTTCAAAGGATCAAGTTGGAAAACTCCCCGAACGTTTACTTTCCGAACCACAGACTATTGACCATGTCAATGAACCCACACCACCTGGTCGGTCATCAACATTTCCTTCAAGCACTACATCACTCAGTCGATTTTGCATAGTTTTGCAAAAATATCACTATTGAACAGGAAAAACAAAAAAAAAATTAACACTTATTTACAATCGAAAGAACTTGCTAAATTCTATCCTAAACCAAAACCCCTCTTGCTCGTGCACTCCAAACGACCCCCTTCCTTCCCCCCTCCCGGACCTAAGCATACCCCCTAGGCCCATACAGCCCGGGCCCAACTCCCACCGCCACACCCGGCGGCGGTCCATGCGGCACCGCCCCAGGCGGCGCAAACGCATACGGGTGCGCACCAGGCGGCATATGCGGATGCGGATGCGTCGCTGGCTGTGGCGGTGCATGCGGATGCCCGTGCGGAAGGTGCTGTTGGTGAGGTGGTGGTGGGTGAGGATACTGCATCGCACCGGGTGGTGGAGGTCCGGACATTCCGGGTTGTTGGGGTGGTGGGCCACCCGCACTTGGCGGCGGTTGTTGTTGGGGTTGAAGTGCGTGCGGAGGGGGTGGTTGGGACATTTGCGGGATGGGTGTGGGTGCTGCGGTGCGGTACATGTGTGGAGAGGGGGCGCCCGATGATGGGTACATTCCCGGGTGAGGTGGTGGATGGTGCTCGTAAGGATGGCCGTGCATGGCATGTGGGTGGGATTGAGGTGGTTGGGGGTGAGCTGCGTAGTAGGGAGGACGGGGCTGTGCATGCGACGGATGTGAAGGGGGAGGACCTGGTGGCGGAGCAGTGGGCGGCATGTTGGGCGGCATGTGAGCAGGGTGTTGCATTGGTGGCGGCTCTCTCGGGGGACCGTTCTGATATTGCGGACTGCCGTGCAAGGGGTGTATGTGTTGGTAATGCTCGTGTTGTGGAGGTGGCATGTCGCTTGCTAGATGAGGGTGGTTGGCGGGAGGCTGACGTTGTTCGAGTGCCACCATTGCGGACGGACCTTGAGGCATTCCAGCAATACCTCGGTGGGACTCCGGATGCGCATACACCGGTTGACCTGCACTCGACGGTCCATGTTGCTGAGGCCCATGAGGATAGGCGTACTGGTGAGGGTGGCCCACCGCAGAAGAGACTGGTGGCGGTTGTGGGTAAGGGTATGGTCCTGGTGCTTGAGAAGGATGTTGAGGAGGGTAGGTGCCAGGTTGTGCATGTGCGTGTTGCATTTGCGCGCGAGCTTGCGGATGTGGAATTGCCTGTGGACCTGGTCCCGATTGCCCTCTCTCCGCAGCGCCTTCTCCTGGTCTCAAGGCGGTCGCAGGATGACCAGCTCCTGCTCCCTTCTCAATAACATGGTAATGCGCATGGTGATGTTGATGTTGATGCTGATGCTCGTGCTGGTGGCGGTGATGGTGCAGGGAATCGGGCTCTTGCGGGACACCTTTAGCATAAGGTGGTGGCGCCCCGGGGTAAGGGGGCGGTGGACCGCCATAGGGATGGGCGTGACCAGAGGGCACCGGAGATGAAGCACCTCGAGCTGGATCGGCAACAAATGCTGGTGCTGGCGCTCCCATGGCAACTTTTGGAGTCCCCGCTGCAGCTGGATGACCATAGGGAGGATACCTGCCGTCATCTCCAACCCCTTTGCTTTCCGGACGATAGTGAATGACAGTGTGTGGAGGACGCTGAGGCAAAGCGTCCGCAGGTACCGAGGCTCTGTCAACAACCTTCTCTCCCATCCCGTGCTGCCAATGCATCAACTGACGAGCGTTCTCAGCCGGTGTCGACGGACCCGCATGCGGATGAGGATTTGGTGGTTGAGCTGCAAACTGCTGATGCGGAACCGGAATGGGCACGGGTTGATGGTACGGCTGTGCGCTCGATGCGGGTGGTCGACTGATGGGAAGTACATCCATGGACGGGCGACGCTCGTAGGGCGGGTATCGCGGGGACGGGAAATTTGGACGTTCCGGAGGCATGACGGATTGTGTCGCTTGATGGATGCTGGGCAGGGTGGGAGGTGGAGGTTGCGGGTACTGCCGCTCACTCGGCACACGACCGTGGAATGCACCATACGGGACGTGACGATCCTCTTCCTTCACCTGCTGTTCCACAGCCACAGGACGCGGCCATGGATATGACGAGCCATTCCCCGGTTGAGAATCGTTCGGTGTCGGATATGGAGATTCCAATTTGACTCCTACGACGGCAACATTCGGCCTATCCTCCGAGCTCCGAAACTGGTGCGGTCGGCTTGGCCCATCCCGCGGCAACGCCGATTCCGTGACCACTTTCCGTTCCTCTTCCTTCGACTCCGCCTTCAGCCTAGGCTGTTCCTCACCGCGACCCAACCTTCCCGCGATCATATATGAAATCAACGCATGAGCTGCCTGGGTCCGGAACGTCTTGCACGTTCTCATTATCTTGTACCGCTCCTTATACCGATC